CAGGTGCTGCCGCAGGTGCGTTACCTGCACATCTTCCTGCAGCAGATCCGCCTGCGCTTCGAGAGCCAGGCCGGGGAGGGGGCCGGCTCCGCCGTGCGCCTGGCCGAGAGCCTGGCCCTGCAGCTCTCCAGCGAGCCCCGGCTCAGCGAGATGTTCCACCGCCAGGAGTACGTGCTGGCCACGCTGCTCGACCCCCGCTTCAAGGGCAGGATGGATGCCATCCTGCCGCTGGGCTCCGACCTCGACCACTGGAAGCAGCTGCTGGTCCGGAAGGTCAAGGAGCTCATGGCCTCACCCAGCGGCTGCCCTTCCTCCCCCTGGAACACCCAGCCGGGCAAGGCCTTCTGCGTGGACACGGCCCTGCAGCCCCTGGAGGCAGAGCCGGGGCCAGGGGAGCCCCATCAGGACAGGGGGCTGAGTGGGATGGGCTCTGCGGTGCCTCCACTGATCCAGAAGGAGAAGACGCTGACTGAGCACCTGGAGAGCGTGGGGCTGCTGGCCTCTGAGGGCCATGGGGCCTCCCTCCCCACCGAGAGCCACTTGGCCTGTGTGATGGTGGAGAGGTACCTGCGCGACAACCAGACCATCGGGGCCCGGGAGGACCCGCTGGGGTACTGGGAGAAGCGGCACTGGCTCTGGCCGGCCTTGGCCAAGCTGGCCATGCTCTACCTGTCCTGCCCGCCCTCGGGGGCCTTCTCGGAGCGCATCTTCACTGCCCCAGACAGCCCCTTCTCCGAGAGGCGTCCCCCGCAGGAGGAGAGTGCGGAGCACCTCGTCTTTCTGAGAGCCAACCTGGGGAACTTCCCCGACTACCGCCCACCGCCCCTCATCTGCTCGGAGAACGACAGCGCGGGCAGCAGCAGCGGGGAGGAGGGGACCCGGCCGGCTTAGAGACTGTCTCCGAGGTACAGGCAGCGGGGCACCTGCCAGTCTCTGGGGTACGCCAAGCCGGGTGCATGGCGCTGGGCGGCCACTGGGCCGTTATGGGGCAAAGATGGCTGAAGGGAGAGGGTACAGCTACCCTATGGGCCCTGCTGCTTTTGGTGTGGCTCCTAACCATGGGCCGTTTGGTCTCAATTGCTATAAAGAGGACAATGACCGGTGTGACGAAGCGGGACTGTTCTTAATGTTTCCTCTGAATAGTGTGGGGGTGCCTCAGTTTCCCCTAGGCAGTTCTTAAGTGTCTAGGTGGTGGGGTAAGGGTGTATGATTGTTGCAGAGCCCTAGAGGGCAGGTGTGTGCAGGGGTCTGGACACAGAGAATGGCCGACACCCTGTTTCCTGGCAACTGATGGCCTGGGCCCTTCCCTCCTGCAAGGTGAGATCTAAAGGGTTGGAGAACAAAGGAATCAGGTGGCCTCCTGGCCCGGGAAAGCCCAGAGGAGGAGGGTCTGGAGAGAGTTTCAGTTTGGGGCTGGCTGGAGACAAGGAGTGAAGGGCAAACGTGGTTGTCTGGCTTCCTGCCCCCCAAAATGGACCCAGCTGAGGGGTTCTGTTCTCTGCACCTGCAAGCTCTGTTTTAGACCATGTTCCTGTCATCTAATAAACCTTCTGTTTTACTGGCTGGCTGAGAGTCACGTCTGACTGCGGAGTTGGGGTGCAGGACCCTCTGACTTCCCCAAGACCCTGCCTGGGCGGACTTGCTGTGGGAAGCGCACGGAGGGGCAGAGGATGCTGAAGGCTCCGAGGTCAGACCCAGGAAGGTGGAAGCTGTGTGAGCTGTGTGTCCTGAAGACAGGCTGCTCCCAGAGCGGAGACTTCCCCAGAGTCCTGCCTGGCTTCATGGGGAGCAGTTCCAGAGCATCGCCCGGGGACTCCGTGACAATTGGTGGTAGAGGTGGGATCTACTGCATCCCGTGGACGGAGCTTCCTGAAGTAAGTGACTGGGGAGCAGTAAAATGAAGGGGGATTGACGGGGACCAGGCGTGCTGAAGATTCAAAGAGAGACGGTTTCAGGGGGCGGTTAACCCCTGGGAGTGTGTGACCAGAGAGAAGGACTTTTGCAGTAACTGGGTCCCCCGGGAGATTGCAGCAAGCGGTCCCAGGGACGGAGGAGTCTGCAGCTTGACCCTGGCAAAGAGGTGGTGACCTCGAGAAGGGCTGGCACACTAGGGGTTCTCCCTGGAAACCGTGGGGAGCTGAGACCACACAGGCCTGTGAGTCCACAACAACTTGGGAACAGCGGAGTGATGGCCTGTCACCGTCTCCTTAAGAAGGACATTGTAACCCTGTGCAGAAAGAGAGGGTTGAGCATTGGAAAGTTCACCAAAGCAGAGTTAATCGTGCAGCTGGAGGAGGATGACCGCTCTAAGGAACAGATTCCTGACCCCAAATGGGGCTATGGCAGGATCTGGGAGCAGCTGGAGTGGGAGCCAGGCATCGCCAAGACTCCTGTCCCTGACAAGACGGGGGTCTTCACGATCGGGTTCCCCATCGGGGGATCGGAGACGGATGGGATTGGAGCTGGGTCTGAGAGAGCAAGAGGACTGAGAGAGACAGCAAGAGCCCGAGAAAGAGCTGTAGAAGGAGCAGCAGCATGAACTGGCGGTGGTGGAGCGGAGAGGCCTAGGGGACCTCCCCGGGGTGAGTGGGGATAGACCCCAGGGTGCCAGTTCCGCAGGGAACCTCGAGACTAGATTGCTGCCCCTCGTTAAGGAGGGGGGGGATGTGGATGCCCACCTCACTGCCTTTGAGCAGGCTGGCAATTTGAACCAGGGGGACCCTGCGGAAGAGCCCCGGTGTCTAGCTCCCTTGCTGGGTCCCAAGGCCATAGATTTTGCCAGCCAGATGGGTGGGGAGGTGGACAGGCTCCCACTCCTGACCCCAACCTATATGTCTGTGCGGAGTTTCCTGGGGTCGGGCCCCTCGGACCTCCAGTGGGAGCAGAAGGTGACGGTCAATGGGGAGACATTCCTGGGGTGGTGAGATCCTGGGACAGAGGGAACTGTTGTCAGGCCCTGGGTGGTGCAGCCTCAGATGGTGAGGGGCTCTATGAGCTGGGTGAGGGTCCCAAGGACAAAGCCCCTCACCCTGCCTGTGGCCCAGATCCCTGTGCAGACCCAGGAGGGGTGGGGCTGGCTGGTCGTTGGGGTTCTCCAGGATACCAGCTGCGAGACCCTGTTGTGGGGGGACTGTGTCTTTTGGGACAGGATCCAGGTGTCACGGAGTCCCTGGGCGATGCTCTGGAACTGCTCCCTACAAAGCCAGTCAGGATTCTGGGGCAGTCGCCTTCCTGTGAGCAGCCTGTCTGGAGGACACACAGCTCACCCAGCTTCCACCTTCCTGGGTCTGACCTCGGAGCCTTCAGCATCCTCTGCCCCTCCGTGCACTTCCCACAGCGAGTCCGCTCAGGCGAGGCTCCTGGGAAAGCCAGAGGGTCCTGCCCCCCAACTCCACAGTCAGACGTGACTCTCAGCCAGCCAGTAAAACAGAAGGTTTATTAGACGACAGGAACATGGTCTAAAACAGAGGTTGTAGGTGCAGAGAACAGCCTGGGGTCCATTTTGGGGGGCAGTGAGCCAGACAACCACGTTTGCACTTCACTCCATGTCCCAGCCAGCCCCAAACTGAAACTCCCTCCAGCCCCTCCTCCTCTGGGCTTTGTCCCTTTCCCGGGCCAGGAGGTCACCTGGTTCCTTTGTTCTCCAACCCTTCTGCTCTCACCTTGCAGGGGGGAAGGGCCCAGGCCATCAGTGGCCAGGAAACAGGGTGTCGGCCATTCTCTGTGTCCAGACCCCTGCACGCACCTGCCCTCTAGGGCTTTGCAATGATCATACACCCTTACCCCACCACCTAGATACTTAAGAACTGCCTAGGGGAAACTGAGGCACCCCCACACTATTCAGAGGAAACATTAAGAACAGTCCCACTTCGCCACACCAGGCCTTGCTCTGATAACTGCCAAGGGTTTGAATTTGAATCCAGGGAACTAATCGGTGGAGAGGGAAATGGTCAGTGAAAATGCAGATGACCTGGCTGGCAGCAGGGAGGAGCGGATAGGCTCAGGCTACCTGCCTGCCTGTAACAAGACCCCTTGGGCTGGGTGGGACAGAGAGATGCTCCCCGCCCTCCTTGGCTCACGCTGGCTCTGATGCAGTGAGGAAAGCAGCGAGCTCGCTGCCTACCCCCACTGGGACAGCAAGGGCAGCGCTGAGCACAGTGGAAGCTGAGACCCCAGCTGAGTGGGGGGAGACACAGGCAGGGCAGGGGATCTGTTGGGAGTGGCAAGGTGCTTGGTAAGGAAAGTTTGGATGAGCCTAGGCAGCCTTGTGAGCTGATGGCTGTGTCTAGTCAGCAGTGTGGGAAGGCGAGGAGAGTGGAGATGAGAGTCCCTGGACCTTACCTGTTAGCTGGGTGGAGAATTGTGACAGTGAAGGAAATCTGCCTGTGTCTGTCAGGGGTATTGACTTGCCTATGGAGGGAGCTACTCTGATCTCCAACCAGTTGTCTGTGACCAGCCCTGTGTGCTGGGACAAGGGGAAAGAGATCCCAAGCTGTGTGTCTGGTCAAGGAGAAAGTGTGTCCGGCTCTTCTTTGTCTGTGGAGCAGACAGAAGGGGCCTTTCAGCCTGTGATGGTTGAGGGTCGTGCAGTTGTCTCAGAGCTGATTCTGGATTCAGCTAAAGCACAGGAAGGGAAGGGTCCTAAGTTTGTGTCTGCTCGGGAGAATGGCCCTGTAACTAGGTCGCATCCAGTTAGTGTCTATGTAAAATCCCAGAGGCCAGACAATTCTGGTGCTTGTATTTTGCCTGTTGCTAGTGTGTTGTTGGGAAAGGGTGTAGCAACTCTGTCTAATCAGGGTGAGATCCTAGCCAGGGCACAAGGAGAGCATGAAGGTGTGTGATTGTGTTACCTACTGAGGGTGTGGAAACCTGTAGCAAGAAGGAAAAGATTCCTGAACTTGTGTGGCAAACGGAAGGAGAATGCTTCTGACCTTTTATCTAGGAAGTCTGTAAGTTTCCCTGAAAGGGGATTGTGTAGGAATCCGCCAGATGGGCCAGAGGTAATTGTGGATGTAAGGGAGACCCAGAAAGAGTCTGTTGTTGCTCAGGAAAGTGTTCCTCTAGAGCAAGCCCTCAGTGAAGAGGGTAAGAGCAGAATTTCTGTGAGGGGTGAATTGTTGCATAGAAAAGCCCCTAGGGAAAGGAACCCTCATGGAGTCTTTGCAAGCAGTTTACTGCAACTGAAGGGTGTGAAAGTGATTTAATCAAGAAAGTTTCAGTTCCTAACAGCCAGAAATGTTCTGTTGTGAATGGATCCATTGACTTTCCTGTTGAAAGATCCAGTATGGAGAGCTTTGAGAAGGTCTCAGATGAAGTGAAAGTTGTTAAGAAAGTTAAACAGTCCTATAACCAAGTGGCTGTGTTTGGCCAGCTTGTTGGGGAGAAGACCCAATCCCAGTTTGACCCCCTGGGGTTTTGGGGTGGCCAAAGGGTACGGGTCGGATAAACCTTCCCACATGTGGCGTGCGAGTGCTATTGACCACCCCCGTCCTAAGGGAGGGCGCGAAACTGGAAGGGCCTGGTGTAACTCCTACCAAGGAATGAGAGAGATGCTGGGGCATCCATGGGAATGTTGGTGGCGTCAGACTTCCCCAGGTCACCGGCTAAAGTGACCCCGCTCAGTTCGATCTCGAAGGGGGGAGAGATGTGACGAAGTGGGACTGTTCTTAATGTTTCCTCTGAATAGTGTGGGGGTGCCTCAGTTTCCGCTATGCAGTTCTTAAGTCTCTAGGGGGTGGGATAAGGGTGTATGATCACTGCAGAGCCCTAGAGGGCAGGTGTGTGCAGGGGTCTGGACATAGAGAATGGCCGACACCCTGTTTCCTGGCAGCTGATGGCCTGGGCCCTTCTCCCCAGCAAGGTGAGAGCTAAAGGGTTGGAGAACAGAGGGATCAGGTGACCTCCTGGCCCGGGAAAGGGACAAAGCCCAGAGGAGGAGGGGCTGGAGTGGGAGTCAGTTTGGGGCTGGCTGGAGACATGGAGTGAAGGGCAGACGTGGTTGTCTGGCTCACTGCCCCCCAAAATGGACCCAGCTGAGGGGTCCTGTTCTCTGCACCTACAAGCTCTGTGTTAGACCATGTTCCTGTCGTCTAATAAACCTCTGTGTTACTGGCTTGCTGAGAGTCCCGTCTGACTGTGGAGTTGGGGGGCAGGACCCTCTGGCTTCCCCAAGACCCCGCCTGAGCGGACTCGCTGTGGGAAGCGCACGGAGGGGCAGAGGAGGCTGAAGGCTCCGAGGTCAGACCCAGGAAGGTGGAAGCTGGGTGAGCTGTGTGTCCTGCAGACAGGCTGCTCGCAGAGAGCTTTTGACACGGTCTCCCACAGTATTCTTGTCAGCAAGTTAAGGAAGTATGGGCTGGATGAATGCACTATAAGGTGGGTAGAAAGCTGGCTAGATTGTCGGGCTCAACGGGTAGTGATCAATGGCTCCATGTCTAGTTGGCAGCCGGTATCAAGTGGAGTGCCCCAAGGGTGGGTCCTGGGGCCGGTTTTGTTCAATATCTTCATAAATGATCTGGAGGATGGTGTGGATTGCACCCTCAGCAAATTTGCGGATGGTACTAAACTGGGAGGAGTGGTAGATACGCTGGAGGGGAGGGATAGGATACAGAAGGACCTAGACAAATTGGAGGATTGGGCCAAAAGAAATCTGATGAGGTTCAATAAGGATAAGTGCAGGGTCCTGCACTTAGGATGGAAGAACCCAATGCACAGCTACAGACTAGGGACCGAATGGCTAGGCAGCAGTTCTGCGGAAAAGGACCTAGGGGTGACAGTGGACGAGAAGCTGGATATGAGTCAGCAGTGTGCCCTTGTTGCCAAGAAGGCCAATGGCATTTTGGGATGTATAAGTAGGGGCATAGCGAGCAGATCGAGGGACGTGATCGTTCCCCTCTATTCGACATTGGTGAGGCCTCATCTGGAGTACTGTGTCCAGTTTTGGGCCCCACACTTCAAGAAGGATGTGGATAAATTGGAGAGAGTCCAGCGAAGGGCAACAAAAATGATTAGGGGTCTGGAACACATGAGTTATGAGGAGAGGCTGAGGGAGCTGGGATTGTTTAGCCTGCAGAAGAGAAGAATGAGGGGGGATTTGATAGCTGCTTTCAACTACCTGAAAGGGGGTTCCAAAGAGGATGGTTCTAGACTGTTCTCAATGGTAGCAGATGACAGAACGAGGAGTAATGGTCTCAAGTTGCAGTGGGGGAGGTTTAGATTGGATATTAGGAAAAACTTTTTCACTAAGAGGGTGGTGAAACACTGGAATGCGTTACCTAGGGAGGTGGTAGAATCTCCTTCCTTAGAGGTTTTTAAGGTCAGGCTTGACAAAGCCCTGGCTGGGATGATTTAACTGGGAATTGGTCCTGCTTCGAGCAGGGGGTTGGACTAGATGACCTTCTGGGGTCCCTTCCAACCCGGATATTCTATGATTCTATGCCCCAGAGTCCTGACTGGCTTTGTGGGGAGCAGTTCCAGAGCATCGCCCGGGGACACCATGACAACTGGTTCTCCACTGAAGGTCGGACTAGAAGGAATGGGCTTGATCTGCAGCCAGGGGGATGTAGGTTAAATACTAGAAAGTTTCTATCCCTGGAGGTTGAACCAACCTATCAGGGTCTAGGCTTTCCTGTGTGCTGCCTCAGTGCAGGGGGCTGGACTACCTGACCCTTCCTTTCCAGACCTATGTTTTTGTGTTTCTATGAGCATCAGTGTGTGTGTGTGTGAACATGTATGGCGCATGCGTGTTGGCAAGTTTGCAGCATGTGTGAGCATACCCAGGACACGTCTCTGTGACTCTGCAGCATGTATGTGTGCGCATGTGCAGATCTGAGTGTGACCGGTGTGTATGAATGCATGTGCACTGTGTGTATCTGGGTGTGTGTGCAGAGCTGTGTGAAGTGTGTATCTCTGTGTGTGTAAATCTGTGTGCACTGTGTGTGTGTGTGCACAGTGGGTCTCTGCATGTGTGAGTGTGCACAGGGTGTATCTGTTCAGATCTCTGTGTGCAGACGTGTGCGTGCCCAGGGTGTATCTGTGCGTGCAGATCTGTGTGTGCGTGCACGGGGTGTATGTGTGCATGCTGGGTGTCTGTGTATGAGTGTGTGTGTGCATAGTGTGTATCTGCACATCAGCCGGTGCCGTGTGTGTGTGCGCACAGACCCCTGGTAGATTGCTGAGGCCCCATTCCTAAGGCTAAGATTTTGTCACGGTTGATTTTAGTAAAACTCAGGGACAGGGTCATGGGCAATACACAGAAATTCAGGGAGCCCATGACCTGTCTGTGACTTTACTAAAAACTGGGAGTAGGGCTAAATAGGGGGGAGTGTGGGGGGGAGCTGACAGGCCAACACCACCCCCCTGCTCCCCCCCGGCTCCGGAGCTGGCTGCAGCTGTGGGACAGGGGTGCGCGGCCGCAGGCGGGCGTGTGACCTAGGGACCCGGCGGGGCGGGGACTGTGGGGTCCCAGGGGCGCGGGCTGAGGGACACACGGAGCTGCCCCCCCCCCCCCCCCGCTGTGCAGCGCGTGCCGCTCGCTGGCCCTTTAAATGTTCCCGGCCAGGGAGCTGCGGCCCCTGCTGCCATGGCAACGCTGGGGGGGGCGCCCTGTGAAGGGAGTGGCCGGGAGCAAGCAGGCGGCTTTGCTGGGTGAGGGGCTGCGGGCGGGGGGCACCGGGCACCCCGGGGGGGGCGGATCCTGTGAATGCAGCTGGGGGGATGGGCCCGTGTCCGTGCGTGTGCATGTGTGTCCGTGCGGCCGCCCATGTGTACCTCTGTGTCCGTGCGTGTCCGTGTGAGCGTGTTCATCCGTGTGTCTGTCTGCGGTCATCTCTGTGTGTGCGTGTGAGCGTGTTCATCCGTGCGTTCGTCCCTGTGGGCCGACTCTCACGTAGTGTGTGGCTCCGCACGGACTGCGCCTACACGGTGGGGGGATGCAGCTGTCCATCCTGTGTCTGTCTGGTCATCTCTGTGTGTGCGTGTGAGCGTGTTCATCCGTGCGTTCGTCCCTGTGAGCGCCGCGTACTCGTTCACGTAGCTGTGTGGCTCCGCACGGACGTGCACACCGGTGGGGGGGATGCACGCGTGTCCATCCGTGTGTCTGTCTGCGGTCATCTCTGTGTGTGCGTGTGAGCGTGTTCATCCGTGCGTTCGTCCCTGTGAGCCCTACTCGTCACGAGCTGTGTGGCTCCGCACGGACGTGCCGCCTGCACACCGGTGGGGGGGATGCACGCGTGTCCATCCGTGTGTCTGTCTGCGGTCATCTCTGTGTGTGCGTGTGAGCGTGTTCATCCGTGCGTTCGTCCCTGTGAGCGCCGCGTACTCGTTCACGTAGCTGTGTGGCTCCGCACGGACGTGCACACCGGTGGGGGGGATGCACGCGTGTCCATCCGTGTGCACAGGCGTGTCTGGCTCTGCACACGTCGGTGTGCACCTCCCTTCCCAGGGCTCCCGCCGGCCCCGCAGGGGGCACGGGCTGGGGGCGGAAGGCCCCGCGCTCTCCCTGGCCCACGGGAGGTGTCAGGCTGCAGACGGCCTGGGGCTCTGGGGGCTTCCTGCAACGGTGCCAAGAACTGGTGTTGAAACACCCTGTTTCCACAACCCTCTTTTGGTTTGTTGGGATGGAAACGCCCCTCCCCCACCTCCCGTGCTCCCCCCGCCCCCCATCCTGTTCGCGGGCCAACCCTTGCAGCTGTGGCCTCCTAGAGCCTGCCTCCCCCCAGCGCCTGGCACTCAAAGCAGCCAGAGCTCTGGCCATGGCCTGGGCACAGAAGAAGCCAGGGAGACCCCTGACCTGCGGGGTGTGTGCGTGTGGGGGGGGGTTAGTACCGCAGGGAAGGACGGACAAGGTGTCAGGTCTGAGATAGGCAGTGGGTGATGCCCCTGGACGGAAGAGGCCAGGTGGGTGAGGCCGTGGGGGGCGAATTCCTTCTTCACCCAGCTGTGAGCAGCTGATGCTCGTAGTGTGAACCGACCTCTCGGCCCCTGCTGCTCTCGGGGTCAGGGGCAAACCTCTGACTGCAGGTCTGGCAGCATCCCGCCTGGAGCGGCCTGCAGGAGATTCGGGCCCCCTCCCTGCCCCGCCTCCCCAGCCCAGGAACCGAGCTGCACCTGCCACAGACGGCGGCTGCGAGCACCAGGGGCCAGCAGGCCACAGAGCCGCCCGGTGTGCCCAGCTGTGTGCAGGGGCAGGGCTAAGGGGGGCTCCGGCCCTGCTGGCTGAGGCTGCTGCTGGCGGAAAGGAGGCGGCTGGGCGTGGGCAGGGTCCTGATCCCTTCTCCTCTTCCCTTCCAGGGGCTGGTGCGTTCCTGGCGTGGCCACACGGGCAGAGGCTCCAGGCAGGGGCAAAGCACTTTCCCAGACCTGGCCCGGCTCGCAGGGTGCAGAGGTTCTCCGCGCCGTGGGCTGCCCGGGCCCCGAATGCCAAGCGCTGCAGGCCTGGCCTGAGCCGTAGTGCAGCGGGCCGGCCTCGATGGAGCCCTGGGCGGAGAAGGGGGACGAGGGCGAGAACATCAGGGTCACCGCCCAGCTGCTGAAGGCCAGGACGGGCGAGTTCGCCCTGGAGTCCATCCTGCTGCTCCAGCTGCGGGGCCTGGGCATCTCGGATCTGGGCTGCCTGGGCGAGTGCGCCAGCCTGGAGTGGCTGGACCTCTCCGGCAACGCCATCTCCCACCTGGGCCCCCTGGCTGCCCTCAAGTCCCTGGCCGTCCTCAACCTCTCGGCCAACCGCGTCTGCAGCCTGGAGCCGCTCGGCGCTTGCGAGAGCCTGCAGAGCCTCAACCTGGCCGGCAACCTGCTGAGCAGCCTGCAGCAGCTGCAGGGCTTGGCGGGGCTGCGCCGGCTGGAGAGCCTGCGTCTGCACGACCCCCGGGCCCGCCTCAGCAACCCCGTCTGCGCCACCGGGGCCTACCGCAGCGCCCTGGGGGGCCTGCTCCCCGGCCTCAAGGCCCTGGACGGCGAGAGGGTCTCCGGGCGTGGCAGCGAGCTCTACCAGCTCTGCCGGGACCTGGACAGCTCCCTGGAGCGGGGCAGCAGCGTCGGGGTGGGCAGCCCGGAGCCGCCGGGCACGGCGCTGCCCTGGGTGGAGGAGGGCTACTGGGAGCGGAGGCCGGCTCGGCGCAGCTCCATCATGGAGGAGGCCTACAAGCAGTTCAACGACGTGCTGCGGGAGTGCCGGGAGCTGAGCGAGAGGGCGGACGACACCATCTCCCAGGCGGAGCGGGCCCTGAGCGTCCGCAGTGACCCCAGCTCCTATGTGTTTTGAGCCGCCTGCCGGGGCGAAGCTGGGGATTTGCCTCTCCATCGCCCGGCTCCACGGAGGCCCATGCCAGAGTCTCCACCTGCAAAGCCCCGTGCCCTCTAGCCCCGGTGCCCTGCCTGCCAGGATGGCACCCCACAGAATGACAGCCCCTTTCTCCCCCCCTCCCCCCCCCGCCCGGCCCCCGGCGTTCCTCTTCTCCTGACTGCAGCCAAAATGGATGGGGAGCCACAGCTGGCTTGAGGCCCTGGGGTGCTGGCCCCAGCCCCTCATCCCAAGGTGATCTGACTCTGCCCCTACGCCAGAGGGGGCCCAAGCAAGAGGGGCTCCAGGAGCTGACTGGACGGAAGGGCCCAGCCCTGTAGCGAGGCGCACCTGGGTCTGAGCCGATGAGCCCAGCCATGGAGCCCCAGCACTGGTGTGCGCGAGAGCCCCTGGAGCTGGGCCTGTGGAGTGCTGGGCGCCGGTGAGCCAGATCTCCCCACACCACCCCATCAGTTCCCCTTGGGCCTCCGGTGAATCTGCTTAGCCGCTGGCATTGCCCTGGGGCTCAGGGCCGCCCCCAGTTCCCTCCGCCGTGGGCTTAATTTTCAGATTGCTCTGAGAGAGGCCGGGCTGGCGGCCCTGGAGACAATTCCACCAGCAGGCACCATGTGGGCAGCTCAGGGCAAGCTGCCCACCACCAATGGGCACTGGCCCCATCTGTGAGGTGGGAGGGGAGCTCTGCTCTGTGGCTCGCTCCCTCGCTCCTTGTCCTCTCAGCTCATGGGGCCAGTGGGGGCCAGAGGCAGTGGCGGGTTTGCGGAGGGGACCACCCACCCCCCACGTCCTTCCCTTTGAGTCTCCTTCCTGCAGGCAGCCCGCCAGCTGCCAGCAGGGCCCAGCGTTCAGTCCCTACTGGCCAGGGTCCTGGGGGAACTAGTCCCTTTACCAGGGCAGCACCTTCCCTCTCCCCCATTGTCCCTCCCAACCCAGTGTCAGTGTGAGAACCGGCTGGTTGAGCCCAGTGGCAGAGAGGAGTCGGGGGGGGGGGGAGGAGGGACCTGTAGTCTTTATGAAGCCCAGTCTGCTGGTGAAGGGCAGCTCCTGCCAGCTGTATGGGGCCCTGGCAGGGTCCCCTGCCGGGGAGTGCCAGCTGGGCTCAGGGATGGCATGTGCCCTGGCACATTGCTCTGAGACCTGCCAGGGACTGGGGATTTTGCCTCTATCCAAGGCTGGCAGGAGCCCCTCTTGGACCCCTGGCATGGAGGCAGGTGGGCAGCAGTGCCTCGCAGGCTGGACTAGACAGGAGCAGAGACCAGGACCAGCCCTAGTGCAGACTACGGCAAGCATCCCTGATCCGCTGGGAGGAAGGAGTGGTGAGCCTGTTTCCTGTGGGGCAGGACCCAGGGGAGGGGGTGGGGTGATCCCCTGGGCTCAGGGGGAGGAGGGGACACAGCCCGGTGGCAACCAAGGGGAGGCAGGGCCTGGGAGCTGCCCATTCTGGCACCATGGGCCCAGCCCAGTGTGGATGTACCGTGGTGCCATGTGAAGATATTTGCCTGTGAAATAAATGTGTTGTCTCCTCCCTGGCCCCTGCCTCTCTGTGCCCTGTCTGCAGAGCCGTGGGGGCTGCGGGGGCACCCCAGCTGCACTGCAGGGCCCAGTGACTTTCCTCCAATGAGCTGGATTGCGGGGCCTCACTGCCACAAGGGGGGCCTGATAATCTTGGGGTTCTTAAGCCCCTGCCCTGCCTCGGTGAGTTGTTCTGGGGGGCTGCACCCCTTGCCCCTGTGCTGTCCCCCAGTGTGATGAAGTGGGAATGTTCTTAATGTTTTCTCTGAATAGTGTGTGGGTGCCTCAGTTTCCCCAATGCAGTTCTTAAGTATCAAGGTGGTGGGATCAGGGTGTGTGATTGTTGCAGAGCCCTAGAGGGCCAGTGCGATGGTGTCTGCACAGAGAATGGCCGACACCCTGTCTCCTGGTCACTGATGGCCTGGGCCCCTCTGCAAAGGTGCCAACTGAAGGGATTGGAGAACAAAGAGATCAGGTGGCCTCCTGGCCCAGGGAAAGAGACAAAGGCCAGAGGAGGGGCGGGAGAGTTTCAGTTTGGAGCTGGCTGGGGAAATGGAGGGAGGCCCAGATGGGGCTCTGGGCTCCCTGGCCCCCAAGATGGACCTGACTGAGGGGTCCTGTTTCCTGTACCTACAAGCTCTGTTTTAGACCATGTTCCTGTCATCTAATAAACCTTCCGTTTTACTGGCTGGCTGAGAGTCCCGTCTGACTGCGGAGTTGGGGGGCAGGACCCTCTGGCTTCCCCAAGACCCCGCCTGGGCGGACTCGCTGTGGGAAGCGCACGGAGGGGCAGAGGAGGCTGAAGGCTCCGAGGTCAGACCCAGGAAGGTGGAGCCGGGTGAGCTGTGTGTCCTGCAGACAGGCTGCTCACAGAAAGGAGACTCCCCCAGAGTCCTGACTGGCTTCATGGGGAGCAGTTCCAGAGCATCGCCCGGGGACTCTGTGACAACTGGTGGGAGAGGTGGGATCTACTGCACCACGTAGACTGAGCATCTGGCAGGAAGTGACTGGGGAAGTGGGAAGTGGCTGGGGAAGTAAAACGAAGTGGGGCTAACGAGGACCAGGCGTGCTGAAGGCTCAGGGAGGGGCGGTTTCAGGGGGCGAAGGAGCTACGCTTAACCCCTGGGAGTGTGTGACCAGCAAGAAGGACTGTTGCAGTGATGGGGTCCCTCTGGGGACTGCAGTGAGCAGTCTCAGGGGCGGAGGAGGCTACAGCTTGGCCTTGGGAGAGAGGTGGTGACCTTGAGAAGGGCTGGCACACTAGGGGTTCTCCCTGGAAACTGTGGGGAGCCGAGAACACACGGGCCTGTGAGTCCATAACACCTTGGGAACAGCGAAGCGATGGCCTATCACCTTCTCCTTAAGAAGGACATTGTCAACCTGTGCAAAAAGAGAGGGTTGCGCATTGGAAAGTTCACCAAAGCACAGTTAATCGTGCAGCTGGAGGATAATGAACACTCTAAGGAGTCGATTCCTGACCCAAATGGGGCTATAGCAGGATCTGGGAGCAGCTGGAGTAGTAGCCAGGCATCGCCAAGACTCCTGTCCCCGACCAGATGGGGGTCTTCACGATCGGGTTCCCCATCCGGGGATCGGAGACGGACGGGATTGGAGCTGAGTCCGAGAGAGCAAGAGGACTGTGGGAGACAGCGAGAGCCCGAGAAAGAGCTGCAGAAGCAGCAGCAGCATGAACTGGCGGTGGTGGGGCGGAGAGGCCTAGGGGACCTCCCCCGGGTGAGTGGGGATAGACCCTGGGGGGCCAGTTCCACAGGGGACCTCGAGACTAAATTGCTGCCCCTGGTTAAGGAGGGGGGGGGATGTGGATGCCCACCTCACTGCCTTTGAGCAGGCTGGCGATTTGAACCAGGGGGACCCTGCGGAAAAGCCTCGGTGTCTAGCTCCCTTGCTGGGTCCCAAGGCCATAAACTCCGTCAGCCAGATGGTTGGGGATGTGGACAGGCTCCCACTCCTGACCCCAACCTATATGTCTGTGTGGAGTCTCCTGGGCTCAGGCCCCTCGGACCTCCAGTGGGAGCGGAAGGTGATGGTCAGTGGGGAGACATTCCTGGGGTGGCGAGATCCGGGGACAGAGAGAACTGTTGTCAGGCCCTGGGTGGTGCAGCCTCACCAGATGCTGGGGGGCTGTGTGACCTGGGTGAAGGTCCCAGTATGAAGCCCCTCGCCCTGCCTATGGCCCATTCTCTGTGCAGACTCCATCACACTGGCCCTCTAGGGCTCTGCCCCAATCACACACCCTTATCCCGCCACCTAGATACTTAAGATCTGCATAGGGGAAATTGAGGCACCCACACAGTATTCAGAGAAAACATTAAGATCAGTCCCACTTCGTCACACCCAGATTCCTGACTGCCTGGCCTGGTCCTTTGCCCCAACATCCTCCTGCTTCCTAGTGGCTGGATTGTAAAAGTCGGGTGGGTGCTTCAGGGGGTGATTTCCTCACTCTGGGGCCACCACACCCAGCTAAACCCTCCACCCCCCAGAGCGAGGCGGGGCAGAGCCCAGGGACCCAGCCGGATGGGAGTGGGGGACACAGACTCCTGGCCTGCCCCGCCGGGCGGGAGACGATGCACTGGAGCAGACGACCCACTGAGGCAGTCGGGTGCGGCAGGAGCGGGCCCAGGTGTCTGTGCTGCCATATCCCCATGACCCGAGACATCCCCGGAGGGACGGCTGGCCCGACCTCCCCTCCGCTGGCAGGGCAGCCCCGTCTGAATAACAGCCCCGCCCTTCCGAACCGTGCCTCTGGCTTTATTGGGGAGGAGCAGCCAGGCGCTGGAGCTGCATGAGGCGGGGGCTGGGGGCAGCAGGATCCGTTGGCCAGGCTGCTCGGCCTGGCCTGGTGCTTGAGCGGGCCCGGTGTCTGACGGGCAGGGGTGGTCGCCGGGTCTCCGCTGGGCGGCCGTGATAGCCGTGTCCTTCCGAGGATGGGGGGCACCAGAGGTGCCCTGGCATTGTGGGCACTGGCCAGGGGAAGAGGAGACACGTCATGGGGTTAGCATTGCGGCTGGGGGCTCTGGGGGATCCCCACCCCTGCTGCTCTCCAGGCTGGGTTCGTTTCTGGGGGTTGGAGAGAGCAGTGCCCAGACTCTGCCGCTCGGTCACCGCTGCCTTGGGGAGCCCGAGTCTCTGCAGCCCAGGCTGCGCCCCTGAAACCCCTGCCCTTGGTTCCTCCTTGGGGGCGCGGGACGCTCCCGCTCATCTTGGCGCCCTCTGCTGGGCTGCGGGATCAGCGGGATCAGCCCCTGGGGAGAGCAATGGGTCACAGGGCATCAGGCCCAAGGGGAGTGGGCACAGAGCACTCTGCAGCGGGGCTCGGCCGGAGAGCGGGGAAATCTGGTGCCCGGGCCAGGGCCCCCTAAGGGAACCATGAGCAGCCCAGCCCCCACCTGGTCCCAGGTCCCTGCCTGGGGGTGCCCATCCTTACCATGCTGTGGATGTGGGGGTGCCGCCCGGGCTAGGACGGCAGCCCTCTGGAGAAGGCCAAGCGGCCGGGATGGTAGGGCGCTTCGCCCGTCTCCTGCACAGTCCTGCACTTCTCCTCATGTCTCGTCGTCTCCATCTCCTGCAGGGGCAGAGGTGCCAGGTCACAGGGAGGCCACAGCTCCGGCCAGGGAGGTGGTGCGGATGCAGCCCCAAGCAGCGCCCGGGGGGCATGGGCTGGGCCCAGCGCTGTTGGCACCATCAGTCTCCACAGAGCATGGAACCACTGAGCCCCTGTGCTCGTGGGTTGCCTGCGTGTGCACGTCTGTGGGCCTGTGTCGTGGGCACGTGTGTGTCTTGGCATCCACCCGGGGCACGGGTGTCTGTCCGTCCTGTGTGCGCAGAGCCATGCTGCGCCTGGGAGTGGGACCTGGGGGGCTGAATGGCCCAGCTGAGCCTGGCCCCACCCAGCACGGCTCCCAGGCCCTTTGCCCCACGTGTGGGGTTTTCCCAGCACCCTGCTCCCAGGAGAGCGGCTCTGAGCCCGATCCCTGCCCGCGGGCGCCCTCACCTTCACAGCGTGCTGCGTCTCCGTCCTGCAGTGCATGTGGCTATCCAGCACCTTGCTTGGGCTGCGGGAGTCAAACTTGACACAAGCCAGGCAGATCTGCCTCCTCTGAGGAGAGAGGGACCCAGGGAAGCCTCGCAGCCCAGGGCGTGAGCTGGGGCAGGCTGGGCTGAGGGCAGCGCCTGCGGGCTGCCGAGAGGATGCAGCAGCTCTCCCCAGCCACCTCCCCCGGTGCACGTGTCCCCCGTGCCATCTGTGCCCCTCCCTCACCATGGGGCATGTTCCCCGTCGCACCCGCAGGCCCGTGCACACCCCCCCCCGCACCCCTCTGGCCCCAATCCCTGTAGGTGCTGAGCCCCCGCAGTATGCACCCCCCGCAGCCCGTGGGGCAGGGCAGGGCGCTGACCCCAGGCGACTTGTCCCCCGGGGAGTCCCTGGCAGAGCGGGGGCCGGAGCCCAGCACCGTGCCCCGAGGGCAGCCGCCTCCCGCCCCCCGACGCGGGGTCTAGCCGGAGCCCCCCCCGGCTCCGCGCACACTCAGCCGCGTGCCAGCATTCAGCCCCTCCCGCCGCTCGCACGCTCAGTCACTCCCTCGCGCCGCTCCGCACTTCTTCCTGGGGCCTGGCGGAGCAGGGGGCGGCCCCCCACCCTCATTCCCGCGGCAGGGGAGCGCGTCACCGCAGCCCTGCTCCCCCGGGGGCGGGAGAGGAAACGGCCCTCTGGAGCAGTGACCCGGCCGCACGGACAGACCGAGGTGGGAGCTCACCCCCCTGCGTTTGAGGGCGCAGTCCTGCCTGCTCCCCGGCTGGTTCGGGCACTGGGTCTGCTGGAGCCGGAGCCGCAGCCGCACAAAGGACCCCGCCGGATACTCCTGGAACCAAAGCGAGAGCAGGGTCGGCAAAGCGCCGCCGGCAGCTCCTGCCAGAGCCCCAGGCTCCCTCACTCCAGCCCAGCCCAGAGCCGGGGGCCTGGGCACGCGGCAGGGACAGACGCCGGCCTGCACCAGGGTAGAGCCCCCGTCGCTCGCCACGGCGCGACCCTGGGAGGGGCAGTGTCCCCCCAGGGCCCCTCCCCGCGGCCGGCGCGGCGACGGAGGGGCTGGCAGAGGCTCCCTCTGCCCCGTGCTGCCGCCGGGGAAACCAGACGCAGGCCCCCAGGTGGGACGTGCCGTCCAGTGGGCCCGCTCCCACGAGGAGAGGGGTCCGCGGAGGAGCCTGGGAGAAGCCCCGGAGCGGCCTGTGCTGGAGCGGGGGGGGCTTAGCCGCACGCTGCAGCAGCCGGGAAGGGGCTAGCGGCTGGTCAGCTGCATTGTCGGGGGGGCCGAGGGGCGAACCCCTGTGCCAACGGAAGTATGGGTCACGGCCTCTGCTGTGACTAAGCCAAGCAGGCGTGGGCGTGTGACTGGCCCATGTGAGTGTACGGCGCCATGGGACCAGGTCACTTGGTGCTGGGCTCCACGGTGGAATACCAGTGTTTTTCCACTGCCGGGCGTGGGAACGAAGCTCGGAGACAAAGGGCTCCCGCCGGCTACATCAGGCAGGGGAGTGACATCCTCGGGGTGCTTCACTGACTCCCCACCCGCAGAGACTCCTGGAAACACCTGGGGAAGGAGGAGTGAACCGGGGGAAGGGCTGGACGCAGGCTGAAGGGAGTTTTAGCCTGTGAAAGGAACACCCGGGTTTCAAGCTGTAAGCAAGTGCAGCTGGCCCCTTAAGAATCTCTGCAGCCTGCGTGTGTAACGCTGGCAGACCCCGGTCGGTCGGTTGTGGCGGGCAGGATCGAACCGGGGACCTCTGGAGCTGTGTGCATGAGCGTCTACCGCAGGAGCTAAAAGCCCAGGGCCTATTAGCTAAGGCTGCAAAGCAGACTCAAGCTCTCTCTCTAGGTCGGGGTCCCCAGCGCAGTGCCCAGGGGTGCAATGGCGCCCGCTGGGGCAGTTGTGTGCGCCCGCAGGACACCGTGCTGCCGAAATGCCACCGCTGAGCGCGGCTGCCAAAGAACCACCAGTGCGGAGATGCCGCCGAGAAGCGTTGCGGTTTCTCGGCGGCATTTCGGCGGTGGGGTGACTGGCGCCCACCACAGTCTTCTGGGAATAGGAATATGCTTTTCCTAGTCCCAGATCTCTGGGCAGTGCAAGACGGTATAATTTGGGGTTTACACTCCAGAGGGGTGCGTACTTTAGGAACTGGGAGGTGCCTTAGCGGAGCCTTCCCATGCAGGGGCTGGTGTGGATGTCACTGCAGCTGCGTGTGTCCCGACCTGTGTGAATGCTGGTGAAAGAGCAAGCTGGGAGAGCGTCACACCTAGTCACAGCAGCACAGAGCGAGAGGGAGCCCAGGCTGGTGGGGCAGGGGGCTCAGTGGTACCCCAGTTCCAGCTGGCGCCCTGGGGGGAACCTGTCACCGTGGCTATGCCATGCCCAGCCATGAGAGGGGGCCACCAACCAGTGGCTGAATCTTCTACAAGAGGCAAACACTGCAACCCAGCGGGCCCCCGGCATATCAGCCCCCTCTGCGGCAGGTCAGCCAGCTCCCGGACAACAGGCTGTCAGTCACTCAGCAGCCTGTGTGGGGAAGTGTCCTAGCAGAGGGGCCGTGGCCCGTCAACAAAGCAGAGGGGCCTGGAGAAGCGGGAGCTCTGGGACGCTGCTACAGCCCTAGAGAAAAGCCAGTCGTCGACGTCACCACTCGTAGGCCCCGGCAGTGTCCTGCACCCTGTGCCTGCCGCTGGCTGCCCCCTCGGGGGGGCCGGGCACAGTTAATGTGTAGCTGAGCTCTGCAGGTCAATGCCCATTCGCCTCTGACAAGGCTGGCCAGGTGCCCGCAACCCAGCCCAGCCGCCCTGGCCTCATGAAGAGCCCAGGACGCTGAGCCCCATTAGCTGGAACCAGCTCTCCCGACCAACACCCGCCTCGCGCTGCCTGCAGGGCCGTGAGCAGCTCCGGGGGGCCAGGTGTGGGCTCCGGCTGGAGGAAGAGCTCTGTCCTGCTTTCCCCAGCTCTGAAGAGGCCCTGCCCTCTCCCCTATGCCCCAGCCGGGTGATGCAGGGGCCACTGGGAATGCTGAGCATGGCTGTGTCTGCACCAAGCTTTGCAGAGCTCCAGCTCATCCCAGGCCCCTGCTCACTGCCATCCCACCCCCCGCACTCCCCTCCCTGTACCCAAACCCACCCCTCCCCACATCTCCCCTTCCAGCTAGTCTCTGCAGACCTCCTCCATCCTCACCCAGGGCCACCCCCAGCGCAAACCCACCCAGATGGGCTCTCAGCAATGAGAGTCACATGTTCCTTTCATCCCACAGGATCCCAAAGCAGCATACAGGCTGGGTAGACAGGAATCGCTTCCCCCATCACTGCAGAGCAGCCACCTCTGAGGAGGGACTCAGCAGCTCAGTGCCAGCTCTCATGCACTCACTCTTTCAGTGACTTCTTCCACCGCCTGCTCCTTGTACATCCATTGCACGACGCTCCTGTTGTGAAAAGCCTCCAGCACCAAGTCCACCACCCTCTCCTGCAGCGTCAATCTGCTCGCCGCAGCCAGGGCCACCAAGCCCAAGCCCAGAACTAGCAGCCCCTTCATCTGTGCGGGTGGCGAATGGATCCCAGGGAGCCGTCTGCCGCTCTCACCCACCCCAAGAACTCCCCTCTGTTGATCTTAGTCTTCCATTAACTAATGCCCCAGAAGCTGCCCTACTCCGCCCCCTGCCCCCGGCCAGCACCCTGCCCATTGCAATCTCTGTCATCGATCTGTTGCCGGGAGCTGATGGAGAGAGGCAGGCAAAGTTGGCACAGCACGGCCTGGGGGGAGCAGGGGGGAGGGCGAGCCAGGGGAACGGGATGCCCAGCTCCTAGGGGCATGGAAGCTCTTTCCTGTGGCTGGTCACTAAACCCCTCTAGCCTCTAGGACCGGATTGAATGAGCCCATTCAGTGCTGCAGCTGCAGGTTCCTGGAGCCTGAGCACATTGTTTCTTGGCTCCTCTCCCTGGCTTTCCCGCGGGAGCTGGCTGTGTCCTGGGGGAAGCTTTGCATGCCCTGAGGGCCACCGCAATGCAAGGAGACCCACCGCCCTGCCAGCTTGCACCACACCCCAGCCCCCCATCTGACCAGGGACAGGTGTGTGTTTGGGGTGGGGGAGGGGATACTCAGGAGGTAGAATGGAAAGAGACCCACAGGGATACAGCTTCTGCCTCCCGTTGCAACAGAAGAAGCTTCCGGCCTGGTGCTGGGAGCTCCCCGACCTGGCTTCTCATCACAGCCCTTTGCAATTCAGGGGCATCGCCCATCCCAGGGCACCAGGCCAGTGCATACAGCTTCCCAGCCCCTGAGTGAGGGGGTGGGGCAGGTCACTCTCCCTGGAGCCCAGAGAGAGGAATCTCCTGGCGAGTGAATGGCAGAGAAAGGAACAGGACTCCCAGCCAGGAGGCCATCCCTCTGGAGCTCTTACTAAGGGGGCACGCCCCGAGCTCTGCCCGGGAGTCATGCAGAAGAGCTGCAGGGGTTCTGGCTCTATGGGTGCTGCCCACAGGAGCCCAGGGGACTTTGCAGGCTTTAGCCACCCTCGACCTGTGTGACGTTATTGACATAATCTGGGACCGTATAGATCATTGTTGCAACCAAGGTCCTGTAGTGGCACCAAATCTTGTATAAAGGGGGTCAAATGAGGTGTCCCAGACAAGGTGATGGTTGGCTGGTTAGGATGATGTGATCTGTTTGCATGTATCACTTTTGTAGTTGAAGTTATGAATATTGGCTCTATCCTGCCTGTAGTTCAAACGTGTGCTGTGCTTCTGGGTGACACCCCAGACAAGTTGGTGTCAGCTCTGCCCAGCCTGCTGGACGGCCCATTAAGGACCATCAGCGATACCATTGACCCACTGAGAGAAGGCAGACACGCCTGGGGACTCAGCCAGGTGTGCAGGGACCTGCCTAGGGACAGAACTCTGAGGTGTTTCCAGGCCATGGGATGGGCAGCTTGTCCTTGGGACAAAGAAAGGCCACATGGCAAGAGACTATCAAAAGCTGCTGCAGCTCCTCCAGCTGGTCTTCAGTCCTGCTTCCTACCTCTGGAGGGACTTGGCTACAAACTGAAGCTTTGAACCAAAGACTGAACGACCCACCCCAGCTGGGGATGTTCTCCAGAGGCTTGATTTGAACCTGCTGTTTATTCCATCACTGCTGCAAGCCTGAACCAAGAACTTCGCCGCTACTGGATGTCATTGATTCCATTGAACCCATTCTAGCTCTCATCTCTATCTTTTTCCTTTTATCAATAAACCTTTAGATTTTAGATTCTAAAGGACTGGCAGCAGGGTGATTTGTGGGTAAGATCTGATTTGTACATTGACCTGGGTCTGGGGCTTGGTCCTTTGGGATCGAGAGAACCTTTTTCCTTTTACTGGGGTGTTGGTTTTCATAACCATTTGTCCCCATAACGAGTGGCTCTGGTGGGGATACTGGGAAACTGGAGTGTCGAAGGGAATTGCTTGTGTGACTTGTGGTTAGCCAGTGGGGTAAAACCAAAGTCTTCTCTGTCTGGCTGGCTGGTTTGCCTTGGTGTGCACAGAAACCCCAGCCTTGGGCTGTAACTGCCCGGCTCGAAGCAATCTGTCCTGTATGGGCACTCTCCGTTGGGTCCCGCCAGAACCAGCCTCGTTACACCCTGTGAAGAGAAAGGAGCTCAGAGCAGCCGCAATGGAAAAGCCTGGTCAGGTCCCACTGAGTCCATCCCCTGGGGATAATGCCAGGCTTGTTCCCTACCAGCTGGGGAACCTGGCTGCGTACATCCCTGGTGCTGGTCTCCCAGCCCCCACAGCTGGATCACAGTTTGTTTTTCCATTCTGGTCGCTACGTTTTATCTGAAGCCTGACAGATGTTCCATCCCGAGAGAACCAACCCTGTGGCAGAGCTGAACCTTTCCCAGTGTCCCTGGCAGGCAGGGGACTCGTGGCATCTGGTCACTGTCTGGGAGGGCAGGTGGATTATGCAATGTGTTGCCCTGTACAGAGGACTAAGAGAGCAGGGGTTGGAAATGCTGAAGGTCGAGCTGGTTTGAAGTTCAGTATTTCTCCAAATGATCCAAACAGCTGAATTCTCAGCACAGAGTCCGAGCGCTTGGGGAGGGCGGGGGGCAACGGAGCTACTTACCCCTAGATACCGAGCCAGCTCTTCCCTGCTCTGTGCCTCACCCACGCCCCGAACCGTAGCCTGCTCCCCCACCCAGCCCCGATCCCACTTTCTCCCTGCCAACCAGCCTCAACCCTCTCGCGCTGCTCTTCGAATCCTTCTGAAAGTGCTCCCCTCCCGCCTTCAGAGTGTTCCGAGCTGATCTCCTCTCTCCAGGCCCCACTCCCCCCCGGCCATGCTCTGCTGCCACGCCGGTCTATCCCCCAGCTCCCCCAGACATGTGCTCCCAGCTGAGTCCCCGTTTCCCTGGCCGGGTAGAAAGAAAGGCGGGGGGAGGGGCATACAGCCGGGGAATCAGGGAGCATTTCTAAAGATAGACTGGTCCAGTCAAAGTGGGGCTGGGAGCATGGGCGCTAGGTTTGGATAATTTTTGGTGGTGCCCAGAATAGGTCCAAGCAGAACCGTCCTGACCATAGGATGGACTGGGGTAACCGCCCTGGGCCCCATGCTTTGGGGGTCCCCATGCTTCAGGGGCACGTGTGGTCCAGGGTGGCCTGGGGGGTAAGCTGGGGGCCTGGCACCGTCAGCAGCGAGTGACCCGGCCCCAGCCCGCCCCACTCCACCCTGTCGGCTCCCAGCATCGCTCAGGGGAGGGAGAGGAAGCTGGAAAGGAGCGGGGCGGGGGCTTGGGGGAAGGGGTGGAATGGGGGCGGGGTGGAGCAGGGCAGGCTGGGGCCTGGTTACTCACTGCTGCTGGCACCAGGCCCCCCACTACTCCCAGGCCACCCTGGACCCCGCATCCCCCTGAAGCATGGGGCCCCCCCAAAGCATGGGGCCCGGGGTGGTTGCCCCGGTCCGTCCTATGGAGAGGACAGCCCAGAAATATAAGCCCAAGCATTGGTGGAGCCGGGCCCACGTTGCTGAACACTGGTGGCGCAGGGGCACTGCAGAGGCTTTTGCTGAAATACATCAACTGTTTGCCACCCTAGTGTCGCAACCACGGGTGCAGACTTAACACGGACACGTAAACAACAGCCACAGGGGATCGGCAGGCTTTCTACCCACTGGGGCTGGAGCTCAGGTCTCTGTGCCTTGCGGAGCACTTGAATGGCACCAGTGACGCCCAAGCAGAGTGGGGATTTGCCACCCTGACACCTGGGAGCGGGGCTGGTGGGTTAGGAGGTGTGTGGGGCACGAGGGGGGGCCCGGAAATAATAGTTGGGACTCCTGGTTTCTATTTGTAGTGTTGCCAGTGCTCATGATTTCACTGAGTTTCACACTAGCTGGTGGATTTTGTTAAAGCCCCAGCTCCTGGAGCCATGTTATTACATGAGAAGCTCAGCTTTCATTTAAGAAAAAGGTAAGTTTCCAGTCCTCACAGTTGCAGAGAAAAGCTGGGAAACATGACCCGAGTGCACCCTAAAAGCTCAGAAATGAGGAGGCAAATAAAAGGGCACATTTATTATTTAGAAATGTTCACTTGACATTTAAGCCAATCCCAGGCCTGGGGGTGCCTGACTTACGGTTGAGCATACTTGGGCTGATACTAGGGATATCCCCGCCACTGGGAGTGAAGTGGGTTAAAACTAGGGTTGCTAACTTTCCAATTTCTGAAAACTGGACACCACTGCTCCGCCCCCGCCCCCTGAGGCCCCAAGGTCCCATCCAGCTGGGGGACTGCAGCAGTCTTCCCACCCCACCAGTTACCTACAGGGGCGGGGGGGGGGGGCAGGAGAGGCTCTCTCCATAAGCCACTCACCCAGGTCACACAAGAAGTCTGTGAAGAAGCTGGGAATAGAACTCAGGAGTCCTGGCTCCCAGCTCCCCCGGCCCCCTGCTCTAAACAAAAAACACCATTCCCCTCTCTGAGCCAGGAATAGAGCTCAGGAGCCCTGAGTCCCAGCCCGCCTGTGCTAGCCCACTAGCCTCCACTCCCCTCCCAGAGCAGAGGATGGAACCAGGGGTGAGCTGGAGCCAGTTTGCACCGGTTCACGCGAACCGGTTGTTAAATTTTGAAGCTGGTTTAGAACCAGTTGTTAAAGGGGTGGGCAAACTCTGGCCCGCAGGCCACATCTGGCCCGCCTGAGCTCTCACCCGGCGGTGCTCCGGGTCTTTGGTGGCACTTCGGTGGTGAGTCCTTCACTCGCTCTGTGTCTTTGGTTCTTGATTGGGCACTTAACATATCTCAAGAGCAACTGAAGTAACCAGTTCTTCAGCTTTTGGCAGCTCATCAGTGGATGGAACCCAGGAGTCCTGGCTCCTGGCTTCTACACACCCCACCGTGAGAGGCTCTTGGGGCCCCAGCTCCTGGGCTACCACAGCTGCGGCTGACGCAGTCTGGCTACAAAGTGCCAGAGCCTACCAACTTCTGCTGCCAGAGCGAGCGGGAGCCTGAGTTCTCAGGGAGTGGCACTGGTGGGCGACTGGGCTCCTACCTGGGTGGTGACTGTGCCGTGTGCAGAGCTGGGATTGGCAGCCTGGCCTGGCACTTCAGGGGAAGTGGCCCCATGCAACGTGCCAAGCCCGGGCCCCTCTGCAGCCAGTGGGGGGTGAGTGGAGAGGGGCCAGGGGCTGCTCTCCAAATGGCTCCTCTCCTAACATCCATGCCCTGCAGGTAGCGGGTTGCCCCCTTCCTTCCCACTAGGGTCGCCAGGTTTGACGGTGCACCCGATAAGGCTCTATGGAAATATGCTTATGAACATATATATCTGACATAACTGGAATATGGTTTATGCTACATATGCCATGTAACATGTCTCTGTAAAGGTTATGATCTACTGAATCTATTCATCCTATTTGTATGCATGTGTCATTGTTGTATTCGAAGTTGTACTTGCTTGAATTCTAAGTAGACTTAGTAAAGCATTTGGTTGGCTTCTTGAAAAAG